GGATTGGAAATGGAAAATGGATCCATGATTTTCTTGTAGCCAGAAACAATAAGAAAAAACGAATAATAATGCCCCCCCCCCGAGCTGCACGCCGACACGGGTAACTAAGAGTTCTGGCACCGCGATGACCTTGCCCGGGTCACCCTTAGTGAAGGCCCAGGGGGCCCAGCTTTCCGAGACCTCTAGCGAAAACCAGGGACCTTGGCAGCCGTCCACTAGCTCGAGGAAACCCCCGATCCAGGCACGTCCGTTCTCAGCTTTAGCGTGCTTAGCGGAGCCGAGCCCTCCAGGAGCGGTTCCGGTTTCTGTAGCCTCCCACCATTCTCCAGTCTGTCTGCTAGCCAACCACACAAGACCCTGATCATGGTGGGTAGCGTGAGCGGGCCAGCCTTCCCCCCTGCACGGCAGAGGACCACGCATGTAGCGGTCCAAGAAATGGTCCCTCCCAGTCAATGGAGGCGAATCCGAGTCTCCCTAGCCCTCGACTCCGTCCAGGGCGTGGCGTACCCCATCAGCTGGCACAGCAAACTGGTGTGCAGGGTGTGCAGAGCGACCCCCGAAGTCCGGAGCCCATCCTTGCAACTCGGGGCCGGAGGCGGCTAACCATGTCTCGTCTGTTGTTTCCATATGATGAACGGACAGCCAGTGAATCTCAAGCGTAGTCAGGACCAGAAAACTTAGAGAGTGTAGCGCCCCGGTGGCCTGTATTTCTCGGTAACTGAAAGGTTTTCACCTGAGTTTTGCACCCTGTAGTATAGACGATTAAATACTTCGGCCACAAAGTCGTCATGCGGCTGTTTCTGTATGCATGAACCAGAAACTTTAATGAAAACATGTCAAAATCTTGCTACCCCAAATGTACGCCACCCGGGCGTGATGTTCTGAAAGCTTATGGGGTCTGAACGCAAGTTGCTCGACTTACCGTAGGCATGGGATGTTGAGCTGACAAACCTTGGCTGGCGTCAACATAAAGGCGGTCGAACACTTTAGCACGCTCACGTGCTGTTCGGCTTTGCAACAAAACACTGTTTGACATGCAACAGTTGAATTTTTCAGCACTAATACGACACCCCCATGTGGGAACCAAAATGTAAAGAAGATGTGGATACAGCGGTTTGTTCAAGGGAACCGACGCCCGAAGAAAGACTTCAAGCATTAGGAGAGCCGGTAGAGGAATTAATGAATAGGTCAGGGTTAACCCGCATGGACCAGCATGGATTTATTATTTTGAAAGGTGAGCGGTGGGTGAGGAAATATTATGACTGGGCGGATTTGCCTGAATTGCGACAATGGAGATCAACCCCATGTCCCTGCTATGGGATTGTACAAACATTCAGTGGCACTACTGCAGATAGTAGCACCGAATACAATTCACAGGCATTCCAGGGAAGGCTTGCCGCATCGTTTGGGCGGTTCGTGTAGGCCAAGTGGGGCGTGGCAGGAATCGTTTCGTGGTGTGGGGTAGGCGGCAGAAGCAGCAAGTGGCTGAAATCACCACATATACATGTGCATTGTCCTGTAATCTAGCCTACAGCTGGCCAATTTCAAGGAGTACACCGCCATCAAGATCGAGCTGCTGGAGTGGACGGACATGATGAAAAAGTTTTTTGCGGAAGGGAGCAAGGTTTCACGAGGGACTGCCAGACCATGTGGCACAAATCGCTGCATCTTGTAGGTTTTCTTGCTGGCGCGGCGCCCTGGAGAAGAGCGTGTGCTGCGCACGGACTTCAGTTTCGACGAGTTCTGAGAAAACCGAGGCAGCGACCTTGAGGGCCGAGACCATGCCTGGACAGCTCGGGGCCCAGAGTCTGCCGCAGTTTCACCGACAACATTTGCACTGCAATGTCCTTGGCTTCAGGTGCTAGTGAATGCTAGTGTTGTTGTTCTGTCCAGGACCAACTGCTGGATTCTGCCGTCTGGGCAGTACGGATGCTACAAAGGTCCTGGCTTGGAAGTCTACGCCTCTTGGCGGGGTTTATTACCTCCGTTGAAAGGCGCGGCTTTCATGAACTTCTGTTTAGCAGGTGTGTTCACATCGAGCTGCTCGCAATATGAGCTTTCAGGATCCTTACAAGCACATCTTCATTAATTAGATTCTAGAGCAATGCGTGTGCGGGCAGGATATCTTGCAGCCCTGGGGCAAGCCCTACTGCTACATGGAGGTCTCAGGCCTCACAAGCTCGAAAGCGTCTCGTTCCTTCGACGAGCAGTCGGTGCATCGCATTGCTGGAGGTCAGGAGCTTTTAGGAAAGAAGGCCGGCCAAAGCGAACACTGCGTGGTGGAGTTGCTTTTCGCTGCTCTTTTTCTCGTGCAGGTCAAAGCACCGACCACGAAGTTCGACCACGTCTTCGTGCTGCCACTGCCTACGATCAAGATGGACAAGGTACCTGCAAAGAACTGCGTCCGCAGCGGGATAGGGGCATACAAAGAGTTCCAGGGGACCGGCGTCGTCACCAGCGTCCCGAGTGATTCACCTGATGACTATGCTGCCTACATGGATCTGATGAAGTCAGGTGGGTCATGCAGTCTCGACTCTACAGCCGTTTTTGTGCGAAAAGTGCGAGCTCGAACTACGTCACCTGGGCCAGACAAGAAGCGAGAGTTCTTCGGAGTGAAGAAGGAGTGGGTGGTGCCCTTCGACTTGATCCCCATCATTGACGCTGGAGCTCAGCCTTGTTGGGGTTTCCGCTTGCATTGCTTGCATTTTCGAGCTCCTGTAAGGTAGAGATCGATGGCGAAATTCGGACCATGGCAGCGCAGTACATGTGGCAGCCTTGGCTGTGAGCGTCGGAAGCATCGCAGGCCACAGACCAATCTTCACTGCTGCAGTTCCAACTGAGTGCGAAGAGGTGTGAGAAGCTGGGCGTACAGTCCATCAACGACCGGGTGAAACTAGCAGAAGCTCACGACACCTGCTGCTGGACATAATTTGCTCAGTGCACTTGATCGGTTTGGTGGCCAGCGCTTGCATGGGAACTGCAGCGAGGCTACAAGCTGGGTTTCGACAAAGGCAGAAGCAAGAAACAAATCGACAGAACTTCGCCGTGCAAAGTTGGCAGATCTGGTGCTGGGCAAAACTGCAATTGCGGCAGGTGTTATGTCGACTGGGCCTTTCAAGGGTCAGCCTGTCAAGCGACTCAGCTGCGATTTCGCGAGCCGTCGTAGACACTCGATGTGCGATGCTTGCCTGGGATCATCATGATTCGTGCGTTATCTCGTCAGTTATTCTTTCCAAGTTCATTGTGGACAATTCGCGCAACCCGTCTCAGCCTCTCGGGGTTTCCAGCTTCACCGACCGGTGGCCGAAGGAAAGCCAAAGTCGAGTTCAGAAATGTGAAGAGCCCAGGTGTTATCTGCAATGACGTGCTAGACCGGAGCTCCATGCTGTCTGCTGTAGCGAGGTTATGATTCAGGCAAAGCAAGCGTTCACGTACTCAGAGCCCGAGAAGAAGGTGCTGGAGTGCGTCCACTCTTGGACTGCACTGTTAGCACGTGCTTCAGGTGATTTCGAGATCGGGTGATGAGTGCGTGGTGGCTGCAATTGATCAGCCAAGACCTGAGCACCAGCTAAAACCACGAAGACGCACTGCTTGTCGCATCAGCGCCAGATGGTACTTGAAGTACGGGGAAGAGTCTTGGAAAGGACAGATTGAGGCGGGGAGTTTGCAAACCCAGACTTCGGAACTCGTGTGAAGATGAGTCACGGCTTGGCATCGGAAGGGCCATCTGCAGAGCTCCAACTTTGTCAGCGGCACTGATGCATTATGTACGTCTGGGGTCTTGCCAAAGCAGTGATCTTGGGTGGTGAGGCTACAACGATCGCATCAAGGACTGTGCATGTCCTGAACTTTTTGTTCTGGCGAAGGGGAACCCTGCACGAACCACTGGCAGGAGTCTTTCGAGGATGCAATTAGCTGGCTGAAAGAGTGGGCATGCAGTCGCCGTCCACTGAGACACTCTGAAAGATTCCTGGCTCAGCCACAGTGGCCTGATACCCAGGATCCTTCGGGCTGGGCACACAGGCCTCCTTCTCAGGGTTGCCACTTGTGTCGTGATCGAGAGTCCCGGGAGGTACCTTGGGACGAGCAGTTCGTCATCGAGTCACTGCAGGGATGCCCAGGCTTTACACATCCTAGTGATGCTTCCTTTGCGGTAATCCCAGGGAGGCACGTCGGCCCCCCGAAGATAAAATAGCCGAATAGCACATAGCTACAGGAAGCAGCATAAGCAGCCGCCGGGCCTCCGGATCCTTGGTTAAGACATTTTCGAATGGAGGTTTTCGTGTCTTTTTTTTCTTCGGGTTCTTTCGTGCTTTCGTTATGTTTTGGCTCCTTGATTTCATGGCTTCTTGTCGATTCACAAATAGCCAATCGATGGAATACAAGTTTGCCGTGCTCGTCCTTTTCGATGCGTGTCCGATGGACGACCCACGATCAAGCCCCTGCGGGGCCATGCGGCTTCTTAAGAACCCACGTGCATGTTTGAATGCTTTCAGACTGTTCTTGCAGCGGCCCGAGGTTACATCCACAGAATTGAACCCTGTGCAGTGGCAAGAGCCTTGGGCAAAGTCGAAAGCAATGCAAGCAACACACAAAAAGGTTGAGCGTCGATATGAGCGATGGCTGGTCACTGTCGCACCCAGTAAAACGTCATCTGCCGATTTCGATCCGAAGCGCTCCCCTTTCCAAGCCTAAGTCTCCACACGTGTGTGCCGGCACGCAGCATGCGCAGCAGCAACCTCCCAAAATATTCCCTTCGGGAATGCAGCAACCACGGGACACGAACATTGCCATGATTTTGGCTAACGTGATCACGGCGAGGCATGCTCGCCGTGATCGGACCGGCACAAAAGAAACGGCACGAATGCCGGAAGATGGGGAACCCCCAGAACCGGGCAGTAGACCGCTGGAAGCCCTAAATGTCGGGACAGTCTCCGGCAGGTTCAGTCGAGCTGCGTTCTTGCAAAGCCACTTTTGATCCAATGATTCTCCATCGTTCTATTCTCCTGCCGCGCCTTTCGCAAGTCTGATGCTTTCATATTGCAGTCTCACGATTTGCTGAGTCGGGTTCCTTGTGGATTCAGGCTTTACACTTGTTTTGCTGACTTGTGCCTGAAGGTCAGATAGCACTATTTACATGGCTTACTACACGGTGGCACATCTGCTCCATGGAGAGGCTGCCCTGGAGTTTGTTCGGACAGCACAATAGCAGGTTGCCTCAGTGTAGTCAGGACAATTTGGATGGTGGGCAAATGAGTCCCGCCAAAATTCAGGCTGTTTGCGCAGTCTGTTGCATTGTCGACTGAGTGGCTGCGAGCACCAGTGCAGGCTGAGGATCTTACTGACGATGTGTGGGATTTTGTTTTCCTCAACACGCTGCAGACTTATGTGGCTTTCGTGGAGCATGCCAGTTCGCCGCCAAAGCTCTCTAGTGCACCCTGAATGAGGCCCTTGCCGAAAAAGAGTAAGATTCCTCAGAAGACACTGGAGACTTGATGCAAGACATGCGGATTCGGGCGCAACTGTTCGGATCAGATCTGCTTGGTTGCGAGATTTCTTTCCCGCAGGAGAAGATGCGGAAAGAGTTCAGGCAGTTCCCAGAACGAAGTGCTTTGAAAAGATTGCCGACTGACAAATGCAGGTTTTGGTACCCCATGGACCTGAGAGTATCCGGCAAGGATTTGATTCAGAATCATTTGACTATGGCCCGAGGCTTTGTTGCTTTCCAGATGCCAGCCGCATGGGTGCACGGGTCCGCATGTGAGGCTCTGTACAACCATGCTTGCGTTTGGGCTCGTGCCTTGACCGTCGCGGTCGTCTTTGTCGTTGCCCGAACTTCTCATTGAATATCAGGAGAAGGAGCCCGAACTCTGGCCGAAGAGCTTTTTCTGCAACGGCTGGTTGTTAGTCAACAATGTGACTCACTTGCAAGCAGGTTTTGAACCGTGTCATGAGCGGCAGATCTGTGTGAACCACCAGCCCAGGAGAAGATGTCCAAATCGAAGGGAAACTTCTTCACAGTGGAGGAGATCATCAACAAGTGCTCTACGAATTGGCAGAAGCCGAAAGAATCTAGCTGAAGCGCTACAGCTCACCCCATGCTTGTGCCAGTTACTCGGCAGACACGGTCCGCCTTGCAATGGCAAACTCCGGCGATACACTGGAGCCAGCAAATTTTGACCAGACAGTGTGCCTTTTGGCCGCAGATGTGCTTGTCATGGTGTGCCGGGGGTCCGGGAGTGGATCGCCAACTAATTCGTCAGAACATGTTTGATGCCTCGAGGTAACAAAGCAGTACTCACTCTCGCGGTCTTTTTGGAGACCATGAAAGCCCTCGTCAGCGGCAGCGAGCCGCTTGATGTAGGTGCTCATATGCGTCAGGGGCGCAAACTGTGCATCGCAGCGTTGGGCCGAACAGCATTCATCACTGTTTCAAAAGTCAGTTGAGTCTGAGCAGGTAACGAGAATACACGTTTCGTGGACAAGTGGTTTGCCAACGAAATGAATCGCCTGGTGTTGCTGCCCTAGTGGAGAAGCCGTAGCTTAAGCCCTTGTGGCAGTCAGTGCAAGATGTGGTTTGCACCCAGGTTGGAGAGTAAGAAATTCTATGAGACGATGTGACCCATGTCGACTGAGCCGTAGTGTCGAACTACACCAACTTGCAGACCCCAAGCCCGTGAGAGTATGATGCGCCGGATGGACAGCTGGGCGAGCAAGTCTGGCCACGCCTGGAAAGCGTATCTGGCCTGGGTCCGAACGCCGAAACACCCTGGAAACCATTATTTGTAAAGACCGCGAGCTCTGGGTTCAAGGACCTCAGACCTCCGCAATAGCCTCGACATCAAGGGCAGACTCTCAGAGTGGCTCAAAGCTGGCTCCCCCATCCAAACCTACAAACTTGTAGCAATGCACAAAGAGCACCAACAGGAAGGACCCACAGATGAACCGAACCGAATAACGCTGGCCCTTCGCCAATCGGATGCTCACCCACGCACTGGGTCGAGGCTTGGGTCGTGGCCGATCGCGCATGATGGCAGGTATTGCACGCGCGTACGCACTGCCTATGGCTGGTGTCGTTGGTGGGGGGACCAGCTCAAAGGCTCTCCGGCTCGCCCTTCCCCCGCTCATCCGTCCGATCTAAGACGCGCACATCATCCCATGTGCCGATCGGGAACGATCATAAGCACCCACGCACACAGGCACTCGCCGGCAGCCATCACTTGTTGAATCTTTCAGCTACCGGGTGATGGGCAATGTTGGCAGAAGCGGTTGCAGGTACTATCGGGAAGCTTTGCGCACATGCTACTTCGAGTTCACGTCCGTTTTCGATCAGCCGACCACTCGGCAATGAACCCTGCATTGCGGGTGATAATGGTGTAGTTGCGAAGTGTGAAAGGTATCGTGACATTTGCAAAGCTGCCAACTGTCGGCCCAACAAAGCTTTGACCATGCGGCTGCCTGGTTGCATTGCTCGAGCAGGAAGTAGTGCGATACTTTGGTTGCAGTGTCTTGTGAGGTATTTGGAATGGCAAATGATAACGCTGTCACCAATTTGCCCCAGACTTGTGGGAGGGTTTGCATGCTCTCGAACTCAAGCGACTCAACCCGAAGGCCCGCACTTCTGCGAGCACGGTTGGTCGACCGTCCTTGGAAAGTCAGGATCGGTGTTGGACGCGAGGTTGGATGTAGCCGCTTACGTCAATTTGACAGTTCGTGTGTCCCTGATGCGTCCCTGCAGGTTTCCAGCTCCAACAGCTCCAGTGGATACTTCGCTGTCCAATCAGGGTGACTACATGTTCAACAAGGCGAGCTTCATGGTGTACGCAGTGCAAATGCCTAGAGAGGGTCTCGTGTCTTGTAGACTGTTGCAAGTGGTCGGTTGCATGAGGTGCCCCACGACTTCATCAAGCTGCCTGGGGCACAGCATGGTTTTTTCGGAAAACTGTCTGAAACTCCTCACTCGCCATCATCTTGTAAGCATTGCTGGTCAGCCTGTCTATGGGACGCTGCGGGCAGGCTGGAGAAAGCAACCAAAGCTGGGACGGCAAAGTCGGCCGTTGTTTATGTTGCGAAGGCATTCGGCAAGGGCGTTTCGGGGACGCCCGAGTCTTGTGCGAGCCGGTAGGAGTTCCCTGACTGGAAGAAGCTGCTCGCTGCAAGACGCATGTGCTTTCTACACCGCCCAGTGCAAGGGCGGATCTTGCCCACACTGAGGACGGTCTTGGCGAAGCTCAGGCTGTGCACTCGGAAGGCTGCGATGCAGCGGGTTGACACCTGCGACCGCAGGTCGCGACAGGGTGCCGGCAAGTTACCCCTGGTCTCTCAGGCCCGACTGCCCTGCAAGCTCCGAGATGTGTGCATGCCGGTGTGTGCGTGCATCGTGCCCGAAGCTGCGACAGAGATACAGGAAGACATGAAGGCGAACCCGGAAGCCTCTGCGCAGTGGAAGGAAATCATGACAGAGCTGATGCAGGACGTGGAGCATGGATGAAGAGCTGTTGCAGCCATATAGATGCAAGGACCCATCGCTGAAACCCTTCGGCAAGCATTTGGGGCCTTTCGCTGCTTTCAAACGAGACGAGGCCAGAGACGGCGACCCTGCAGTCCGCATGGGTTGCAGAGCTAGAGCTAGACTTGAGGCTGCTGCATTTGGAGCGAGTGCCTTAGATGCATCCTTACCGTTTGATGAGCTGGCCCTGATTGCCGAGAACGTCCGGAGCCCCGGCCGATCCCTGGTCCCAGGTAATTAGTGTACTCGGTGGCAGGTGCCATACTTGCAGCAGAAGTTGCAGGCGCCATCGATTCTGCTGCTGTGCCTGGGTTGAGACCAGCCGTTTCAGGTGCAGGTGGAGGTGTGCTCAGCCGAGTCTGCCAAACCTGATCACAAGGCTAGAGACGATCCCAAACATTCTCAAAGTCCACAGTTGTCATGCCATGGCAGTGCCTTATCTGCAGGATGCGGCCGGTAACTCACAGCAAGCATCCCGGAACTTCTCATTTGCCATGGGTTCGAATTGATTTTGCTCCAAGGCCTGGGAAGCCCGGCATCCACTTCGAGATTGAAAGCAGTTGCTTGTCCGATCATGTCAAGACATGTTGCAAGTCGGACCTTGCACACGTCGAAGGCAAGACGGGTGGTGGTGGTGGAGGTAAAGCGAAACCTGCCAGCTCCTCAACTTCTTCATCTGTCAGTGCGAGCCCAAAGCTACAGCGGTGTCACATGTTGTCAGGCAGAGAAGGCGACAAACGCCAAGGCTGCGCCCAAGGCTGCAGCCAAGGCAACCTCGCAGTTGTTACTTTAGAGGCACCATCCGTTCGAGCAGTCGCGTTCAGGCTGAAACCATCACTGACCTGAGAAAGCTAAACGAGCACCTCAGCACAAGGACAGCTTGGCTGGGATGCTTGACTTGCTTTCTACTCTTCCTCCAGGTCTTCAAAGTGCTGCCTCGCTTGTCACCTTTGATCCGCGCATCATGTGCCTCCCCGAAGCATTTCTCCATGGCTCTGGCTGCACAGTTCGAAACCAAGGGCTGTGCAGAGGCAGGGACAAAGTAGCGAGGCTAGCGATTCGTCGCATGGCCAGATGTTTGCGCGTTGTGCTTGCTCTTGGCTCTCTGGCGCTTCCTCTGCCGTCTCAGACGATTTATGCAAGAAAGGAGAAGCTCGTAGAGAGCCGCTTCATTGTGCGTTACCCGGAAGGGTCAGGGGAGAGGCTCAATGAGTACGTGGCACATTTGGAGAACATTCCAGGCATCCGCAGGGCTGATGCATTGAGACGGTTGGATATGGCTGTCGTGGTTTGCGAGGCAGGCGCTGACGAAGATTCTGTTTTGCAGGCCATCGATGCGGACAAGGATGTGGAGCTTGCAGTTCCGGATTCCTGGGTCTACGCATTTGGTGCAGATGCTCAGATGTGCTCTGCGAATCCTGGCTGCCGCGCCTTGAACTTGCAAGGCAGCTGCTGTCCAGCCTCGGACGGTGCCAGAATGGCATGCTGCTTTGCAAAGCCTCAGAAGAGATCCACCCCACAAAGCGAGAGTACAATTTCTTTGCAAAGCGCAGCATGGTCGCATGAGTTGTAGTTCAGCCAGCATGGGAGATCATCTCTGCAAAGTGTGCTTTGTCTCAGGTCCACGGCGGCTACATTACAGTGTCGCACTTCGGGCGTGTGGGTTGGCGAGGGAAGAAGACAGATCCAGATGCACAAATCCAACTTGAAGCACATCCAGATGGGTATGTGTCACTGCGCTCCAGTCACGGAACATACCTTGTGACAAGTCCATCTGGACATCTGGTGGCATGGCATCGCGGACATCGAGACGCTGATGATTGGGAAAAGTTCAAGCTTATTTACAACACCGATGACACAATTTCGCTTCGCAGCAAGGTCTCCGACAAGCATGTCAGTCGGGACAATTCTACGTCAGACATGCTTTCAGCCACAACCGATAGAGTAGAGATAAGTGAGCGGTTTATGGTCACCATGACTCATGGCAAAGATACCTTGGTTCCCAATGACCCACGGCTTTCGAAGCTGTGGGCCATCGATCACTTTGGTGATCGTGACATGGATGCAGTTGAGGCGTGGAAAATGTCTTCGCGATCAGTCACGGAATCAGCACAGCCCGTAGTGGTTGCGGTCATTGACACTGGAATTGACTATACGCATCCGGATTTGCAGGAGTCCATGTGGGTCAATCCAAACGAAATTGCTGGCAATGGCATTGATGACGATGGAAACGGCATTGTGGATGATGTACACGGGGCAGACTTTGCAAACAACGATGGGGATCCCATGGATGACCAGATGCATGGAACCCATTGCGCAGGCACCATTGCTGCCACTGGAAACAACAGCATTGGAATTGCCGGAGTTGCGTGGCAGGGCGTCCGTCTCATGGCTTTAAAGTTCTTAACGTCAACAGGCCCGGGTTGCTGCACAAATGGATATTCGACCGGCAGTTTTTGGGAATGTACAAAGAGTCAGCGAACAGTTGAATAAGTCGGGGATACTCGATTCAGAGAGCTAGGACAACTTGTTGTATGCTCTGCCAATCAGCATGCCTTCCAGCCCTAGTCCAGGTCTCTTTAGCAATTTTTCGGGTTTTGGGGGTTTGCTGCCGGTCAGTGGTTGTAGCGTAAGGTCACTCTCTTCAGGGTCTGTGCAAGAAATTCTGCAAGCCTACCAGGTTTTCAAGCCGTCATTGCGGACCGTTATTGTTGCATATCTGCGGCCTTTCAGACATCGGCGAATCGCTGGATATTTTGGATTGAGTGTTTGACTGCACCTGTCCTTACAGGGTTCGAGGTTAGGTGCTGCTACACTACTGCTTTTTGTGAATCTTGCTGTTGCACAGGGACCCTGTTGCCCTGATCTGCCCGGATATGCACTGCTGTTCCGTCTGTTTCCCGCAGGTGCGACTGCCATTGTTTTTGCTTGACTTGTGGCTTCCGGAACTAAACATGTTTATCTGCACTGTTTGCAGGCGGAGGCCGCACCTCTGATGCTGTGAAGTCTTTGAACTATGCAGTTGCCATGGGCGCCCAGATCCTGAGCAACTCTTGGGGTGGTAGCGGCTCATCTTCTGCACTCCGGGTGGCCATCGAGAGGTCCGAGCATGCCGGAGTGCTCTTTATGGCAGCTTCAGGCAATGACGGCCTGGACAATGACGAGGTGCCGAATTTCCCGGCAAACTACCCCAACGAAAACATCATATCCGTGGCTTCAACCACGCAGAAAGGAGACTTGTCTGCCTTCTCCTGTTATGGCAAAACTACGGTAGATGTTGCTGCTCCGGGAAGTGACATCTACTCGACCATACCGGGTGGAGACTATGCGTCGCTCAGCGGCACATCTATGGCAACGCCACACGTCAGTGGCTTGGCCGCTCTAATTTGGCTCTACCGGCCCGAGCTGGCGGTGAGTCAGGTCAAGGACATCATCCTTCGCTCGACGGTTCCGGAGAAGAGTTTAGAGAACGCTTGTGTGACTGGTGGTCGGATCAATGCTCGCCGAGCCATGGGCCTGGCGTCGATTTACCCAGCACCAAGGCCTCCAATCCACGCGCCTAAGCAGGTACGTTTTGCCGACATAAACCCCGGTGTTGGCCGCATCGGCGGTAGTGTCATCATTTCTGCACCAGATGATCAAAGCGACATAGAGTACTATGGTGTGCACTTTCTTTCCTCGGCCGGTGTCCTCATGGAAAGCATCGGAAAAGCCAATGTCTCCGGTCACAAAACTTTGAGCATCAAGCTGGACAACTTGACGATTCCATTGTTTGCTAAGGGCATGGCGGCGGTTGCAGCAAATAGTAGTGGGAGGATGCCGGTCACAGCAGCTGCGGCCACCCAGATGGTTTTGGCATCGTTTTCCAACTAGTTCATACAAGTCTTTGTCTGATCATGATCCGTGATTACATCTGCACGTGCTGCGCCTTTCGTGAGGTATTGGAGATTGAGGACTACGGTGTTCCCGAGGTGCCAGCCGCAAGATAAAAGAGATGAAGGGAGTTTCAGAAGTAAAAGCGGTTAAGTCTACCATGAGCTCAGGCTGGCCCAGAGGATGTGTCATTCGGTGGTGATGCAGATCCCGCGGCCGGCAAAGTGGGCGGCAGCATCAAGATCCGTCGGGCATGCAATGAGAGAACCGAGCCTCATCGAGCATTTTCGGATGGTTGGCGCATGGGGTTCAAGTGTACCACTGCGCTGCAAGTAGGGCTGCTTTGGATGCCATAGGGCCAGTCTAAACTCAGCTAGTGTATCAAAGGCCAGGCCGCTTGCCATCACTGCACACATGCGGGCTTCTTTGCACAAGATATGTGGCAACATGTGATGCGACGCCTGCTAGGTAAGCCACTACAACATCTATTGGCAGCATGCTTCCGAGCGTGGCGACTTGCTGGGCTCGGTTCCAGCAATTGGATACCTCTCCCCTTCATGCACGGGTGACTGCTCATTGCTGAACATGAGCTATGAGAATGGAAAGCACCTCTATCACCGTGATGCTTACGGCAACAACGAGCTTGCAGTGATTACCTTCAGTGGCCCTGCCACCGTGAAAGTCACAAGCTTCTTGACAGAGAGCTACTACGACTACTTGGAAATTGCCGGGACACAAATAAGTGGAACAGATTTGGAGCTTCCTAAAGTAATTCATGTGCCAAGGGGAGATCAGACGCTCACGTGGCTCAGCGACCACAGCGAGGGCGAAGGTGGCTGGAGCCTGGAGTTGTGGCAGGATGGTGAGGAAGCACGATTTGCTCTGCCAACCTCAAGGGTTTCAAGCGCTGATATTAAAGTCGTTTCGGCTTACGGCCGGACAGAGCTCTCCTCAGAGGCCATGTCGTGTCCGATAAACGACTTTGATTCCAGCTCCATGCCGCCCTCTAGAGCATACCTGCCCGATTCCGTGGAGTTCAACGATGAAAATGTGGAGGAAGGCGTCATAAGCGGAGCGATCAAATTGAGGCTGCCGGAGGTCCGTCTGCAAGGCATCGTCTCGTCCTATCGTGTGCTGCTCGCTGACAAGGCCGGTATCGAAATCCCAGGTTTCAGTTGGACCAAAGAGCTGGACCACGAGATCACCGATACTGTGCAAGTACAGTTGCCTGGAGAAGGCTTGCAAGTGCCAGATGCGGCTGCTTCCGTGGTTGTACACGCTGTGAATCCGTCCGGGGTGAGCGCGGCGACTGTTTCTACCAAGCTTATGGACATTGTCCGGAGTGTGCCGGTCTTTGCCAACTTCTCTGGCGATGAAGACCCCGTCGAAAACCAAATCAAGGGTACCGTAACCATTCTGCCAGCTGCGAATCCAAAAAACATTATTGCATACACGGTTTACCTCTCCACCGGCGACGAGAAAGTATCTTTGATTGGACGGGTAGCCGCAAGAAAGCCAGGAGTGGTGCGATATGCTTTGCATGCAGCCTTCAGACCTGGACAGAGTCTCATGGTTGTGAGTTCGTATGCAGACAAGGACATGGAGCATGGTGTCGTTATCGCTGTTGAGGACTTTGTCGAATCCTTTGCTGGCTACGGTTGGTACGGCTGGGGCGGATATGGAGACAGCAGCACTGGCGGCAACCGTCGACTGGACAGGGGGGGAAGGGTTCAGGAGCCGTGGCTGAAGCACGATCATAAACCTGGCGCAGGTGATGTTCAGCCGCTTTGGTCTGCAACCGACTCGCGAACCCTTCCACTTCCCGTCTCAAACGCGGGTCGCATGCCTCTTGGCAACAGGCAAGGAATTTTTGGCACGGTCACAATTCCGGGCTTTCTTAAGCCGATCAAGCTGCAGACCGACGGCCAGGATCAGTTTGTTCCACCCAGTGTCCGAGAGAGACGGATTATTGCTGAAGTCTTGTCCGAATCGCTGCCTGGAGTGCAGCACGGTCAAGTTAAACTTACGCTAGGACGTGCCTTTAAGGATGCATCCGCTTTGCCTGGAGTGGGCTCTGATCAGCCAGCCGTGCGGGTGATGCCGGGGGCAGCACGCCTTGTGGTTGACTTCGAAGTCCTCGCTCCCCGGCTGGAGCCAGAAGCCTTGCAGCAATTCTTTGATCGGGTGGAGGCCAAGCTAATCCTGCTCAGCGGCGCAGGAGCGGCAACTGCTCGCCTGTCATCTGCATTAGCGAAACGCTTGGAGCCGTTGGGGTACCAATTTGCCGCAGGCTTTCAAGTCTTCATGGGGGAGCCGCAGCAAGTAACACCAAAAACGCAGCCAGGTCGACTGCTTCAGGAGGCCGAAATCGGGGAGGCGTCCAAGAAACACCATGTACAGACAGTTTGGACAACATCCGCTCTTGTATTCTTGATGTCCGTGGCTGGATGGGCGGCCTTTCTGGCAATGGCCGTGGGCCGTGCCAGACGAATTAAGAATGGGATTGAAGCCGACGCAGCCTTGGAATCTGTACAAGTGCACCACGCTGACAGAGCGACCGGCTGAGTTCTTAGATTCTCGGTTGCTGCTGCCAGAAATCCTTGAAATTCTTTTGATCTCACCAGAAGGTCACATTGCCTTTCGTCGCAGTATAAACCTGCGACCGGTACACTTGACGTGCATGCATGCGCAGCATTGACTTTAAGAAATGTGTGAAGAATTCGTTGCGCCCAGTACTGGGCCGCATGTGAATGAACTGGGCTTTTGAATCCGCTACTAAACTGCGGATGCGTTTCGTGTCTCCATATGTTGCAGCGGTTGATACTTCAAGCCGCTATTTGGTTTGCATGCAACTGTCTCATCAGATGCTCTTCAACGAAGGCAAACAATAGGTTGCTCAAGTACGTGGCTCTAGATACTTCGCAAAGAGCAGTGCCCGACAAAGGGCTCTAGAGTTGCCTCCACAAAGGCCATGCACTGCGTCTCCTTTTACAATGCCTGTTCCCAAGCAGCTTGAAGAAGTGTCCAAAGAGTAAGATCGTGGCAGATCGGCGGCTTTTATTTGTGGGAAAATAGACGGCAGCTTCAAGGGAACAGGCTGGGTAGGTTGTCACAAGATGCCATATCGACCCTGGGCAGCTTCAGAGCGAGACCAGAAAGTGAAATGAGTTGCGTGCATCCGTACCCGTCCCACCTTGAGTGCATGCAGCGGTGTTTGGAGGATGCCTGCCGCCCCCGACTGGTTTTTTTCGATTCAACCCAGCATCTCTATAGATGAGACCGAAGTGAAGCTAGTCAGACTTCTTTGCAGGCAAACGTAGTGCAGCAAGCAGGTGAAGGGAAGGCAACGCCGTCCTTCCGACACAACCTAGAGGGCAATTGTTATGTTTAATGCCTGTCATTTCGGATGCTCTTGCCACCGCTGCCGCTATGGATGTGATTCTACCTTGGCATCGAATCTCGCCGTACAGGGGCTTTCACGCCATCACGCGGCTAGAAGCTCTCGAAGGCTTTCAAACTATACACCGTCTCCTCAGATGCTGAGAGTCGTGAGCCCCCCGAAAGGCACAGGCTCCAAGCTGGAGCTGCAGCTCACGCACGAGATTCGAAAAGCCGGTGCAGACCGCAGAGGCTCCAACTTTGTTTTAGCTGGTGCCTGGTCGAGAACTGTGCAGCGAGGCCAGAGACCAGGATATGGACTTCCAGTTGCTATCGTGACTCTGTCCGCTCTAGCGAGACATCGCAGCTTGCGCAGCGGATTTTGTGGCCTTGACCTGCTTTTGTGCCTGTGCGCGAGGAAATTCGGAGCCTTTTGCAATTGCATCCTTTGTGCCAGGTGGTGCCGTAACTGGGGGAGTGAAGGTCATGAGACGTGCTGCCGCCGCCGAAGACTGTTGCTCGCTTTGATTCGTCTTCGGCTCATGCATTTCGGGCCCGCGCAGATGCGGCTGGCTGGGCAAACCCTAGCAGGCCCTAGCTGCCAGCCCAGCCCAGCCCAGCCC